AAAAAAAAAAAAAAAAAAAAAAAGTGTCTCATCAGCATCTTTCAGCTGCTTATTGAAAAACAAAGAAAAGCAAAACTGTATTTCAGTAAACAGATTTTTCTTATGAAATTTCTTTTTTTAACTATGAAAATAAAACCATTTAAACTCAAGTTTTACACATATTTTTTTTTATATAAGTGATGCTTAGTCAGGAGCAGTCCTATTGGCTGTAACGCCCTAGTTCTCGCCTTTATACCCAAAAATGGTGAGTCTGGCAGTGAGGTCACTTAAGGGGCCACTGTTATTCAGGTCGCTTCTTAGAAAGCTTTGTGAAGAAATGCAAATTCTCAGATTGTCAGAACAAAACCGTGAAAGTTTCACTAAGAAAGAAAGGCTTAGCCACAGCTTTTTTCCCTGTAAGACTGATTATCAAACTGAGTTCATGATGCAGCTTTATCGAGCTCTGATTCTGTGTGTGACTCTGTCTGCAGGTAAGAGAATATTTCATGTTGGTCCTGTGTGCTTTGACAGATAAACAAATGTATCGATTGTTAATGGTGGTCTTAAAGCCTGTAAGGAAAGTGAAAGTTAAAAAACTCAATGGCCAGACTGTGAGGAAACAGAAACAGACAAATTATATATGTTGTTAAATTATATATGAAGAGTTTAGTTGTTATAGAAATTATTTAATACGTTTAAAAACAATTGTTTAAGTTTTAATTAGTATTTACTTTATGCAAGACTTTAAGGATTTCCTGTTTTATTTTTTTTCACTTCCCATTTTCTGCCAGCTCTCATCAAGAGGTATAAAATGGAAATATAAACCCCAAAATAATTACAAGGACATGTGAAAGTGTGTTGTTTGTTTCTATAGTATGTGGATTACGATGCTACACATGTACAGCTGCTGATCCTAAATCCTGCATAGACAGCAAATCTTGTGCCGTCATCTTCAACCGTTGTTTCTCTCTCAGAGTAGACGGTGAGTCGTTTTCTCACATCAGACTTGATAACTGAGAAGCCCAAGCATGCACAGTGATGCTACACAGCATGCTTTGAAGTGGTTTCTGAGAGTTTTCTCCTCATGTCTTGCAGGTTATAACTTGGTTACAAAAGGCTGCCAAACCAGTGCAATTTGTGGTGGTGCTATGGCTTGCTGTGAAGGGGACCTGTGTAACAGCACAGCTCCAACTGGTCCCAGTGCTTTGCTGCTGTTGGTATCTTCAGCCATCCTCAAATTTCTTTTCTGAGGCCGTGGAATGATGTTGTTTTTCTGTTTTTGTCCTGCTTTCTGCCTTTATTTTGTACAACTGAAGAATAAATACATTTTGTGTACCATCATTTGAAACAAAATTGTCCTTGACATTTTGATCTTAGTCAAATGAATTCAGGGTCCTATTCAAATACTGTATTGCTTCAGCGTTAAGTTTTCCTAAAGCAAATAAAAATGCAACCAGAAAATACCTTTGTATATTTTTTGATTGATATGTTTTAACTGCAGCTGTTTCAGATTTCTCTCACTAAGACACAAAAAGGGCAAGGGAGTGAGTAAGAGAGTCAATACGCCTACACGCGGGGAAGTGAGACAAAAAAGCAGATGACACGACAGACTCACATAGGCAAAACAGGGGTGAGACAAACACACAAGAGGAACCTCACAGAGAATAAACTGCAAAATTGAAAAGCCAAAAATAACCTAAACTGAAACTTAAACCATTAGAATACAAAAGTCAGAAAAATACAATAAGCTCGTACAGAATGTGCACCAGCTCTCATTTGGTTGGTTTGCTGTTGTGTTGCTGCAGTTGTTGCAGATGAATTCAGTGCAGAAATATGAACCAATGAAGCCAGAGTGAGAAGTGAAAATGAAGACGGTATAATTAGAAAGCAAAATTCTCCCCTCACCACACTCCCTGCCGGTGGCTGATGCCCTCAGACGTTGGTGTGTTGGTTGTCCTTGTCGACTGGGGCTGGGCGCTCATTTATGTAGCCTGGTGGCCGATTGGCGGGGCCTGGTGCCTGTGGCCCGGCTGGGCCCCTTCCGGGGGGTGGGGTGCCCTCAGGCCTCTGGGCCTGAAGCTCGGTCCCTCTGGCACAGCTGCCGGCAGAGCCTGCGGGCATGCCACTGCAACCCCCTCTGGCCTCTGCTCCGTAGCTGCTGGGTGACCTCTTTGGGGCTCTACTCAGCTCTTCCCAGGAGGGTGGCACGGTTCCCCCCCTTTTGGTGGTCCTCCTCGGGTCCTCGTACTCTGGGGCCTCTGGATGTCGGGGGCCTGGATCTCCTCCATACCTGCTTCATGCCCTGGGGGGACGGGGCTGTGGCTCCCCACACTCCCTAGCAGATCGTTACATGGAGAAACCTTTGGAATACAAGCATGCTGATCCACACAGGTGTACACACAGGTGTACACATGGGTGTTCACAGATGTGGACTACACCTTTCTTGGCTGCTGCCTCTAAGCACATTGTGCGCTGTCTATCTTGCGTGCTGCACAATATCGTTTAATATTCAGTATCTACTGTTATCTACTGCTAGCTAGTTTATCGTGATGGTGCTGTATTTATTATGTTGCTCTTTTTTTGTTTGCTTTCTCTTCTGTTTTTTTTTCTCCATACAGATGATCCAGGTGTTTTGTTTGTTTTTTTCTTTCTTCCCCACTTTCTCACAGTCTCTTCTCCCCTCTGGTTTTCTTTCTCTCCCTCTCTTTCTTTCATTCTTTCTCCCTGTCCTATCCCCCAGTCATGTCTGTCCCGTTTGTAGCAACCGAAAATAAAATAAATACATAATTATAATAAAGGTCAATCAAATGGACCAATATGGCAAGGCCATGATGATCCACTTGGTAAAATAAATCCGCTTGGCATCTTTCTTGGCCTTAAGACAACAATTCTGATGGCTAAAGATCCACACAGGACACAAAAAAAGAAAAAGAAGAAAAAGAAAAAGAAAATTTTTATCTATAAATGATGCATCCGGTCTTCTGTTTATTTGATGCATAGAATACATTTATTTTTTTAATTCAAAAATTCCTGTCTCGTTGGTCTATCCTTCAAGCTCACTGCACCTAGTGCTCCGATTACCACTTGAACCACTGTTACCACAACTGTCCGCATCTTCTCCAGCTCTTCTCTAAGCCCAGCTTCTAATGTTCCTTCTTCCTGACGTTGCTGTCATTCGGTGTTGCTAAATCTATCACTACGGCCGTCTTCCTCCGCTTGTCCACCACTACTATGTCTGGCAGGTTAGCTATCACCATGTTTTCTGTCTGCATCTGGAAGGAAGGATCCCACAGGATCTTAGCAAGGTAATTCTGGACCACCCTCTACTTTGACCTTGGGACTTCCAGCTATACTCAGCACAGATGTTTCTCTATACAATGCTGGCCACTTGGTTATGGCGTTCCATGTATTCCCTTCCTGCTAGCATCTTGCGCTCTGCTGTTATGTGCTGGATTGTCTCAGGGGCATCTTTACACAGCCTGCACCTCTGATCTTGCCTGATGTGATAGACCGCTGCCTCTATGGATCTTGTACTCAGAGCTTGTTCCTGTGCTGCCATGATTAGTGCCTCTGTGCTGTCTTTCAGTCCAGCTTTGTCCAGCCACTGATAGGATTTTTGGATTTCAGCCACATCCTCCATCTGCTGAGGTACATACCGTGGAGGTGCTTGTCCTTCCATGACGGTTCCTCCTCTTGCTTCTCTTCCTTCTATTTATCTTTCTAATCTATAAATGTAAAAACATAATAGGAAACAACTTAAATTTCCAGATTTCAGTTTTTCACAAAATAAAGCTTTTTTAATCGATATGTTCTATCAGAAGGGAAACCTTTCTAAAACGGGGAGAGTAGTGGGGGAGTCAAGGCAGTAGAAAAATAAAACTACGTTTCTAAAATATACATTTTTTTTTTTACCATAAAACTTCATCAGTTGATGGCCTCCAGCTTGCACTGGAATGGTTCGCAGCCACAGTCGATCTATGCCCCTATCCTCAGCTATGGTCATGAGCTGTAAGTAGTGACTGAAAGAACGACATCACGGATACAAGCAGCAGAAATGGGCTTCCTCTGAAAGGTGGCTGGCCTCTCCCTTACACATAGGGTGAGGAGTTCAGCCATCTGGGACGGGCTCAGAGTAGAGCCGCTGCTCCATCACATCGAAAGGAACCAGTTGAGGTGGTTTGGGCATCTGATAAGGATGCCTCCTGGAAAAGTCATGTCCCACTGGGAGGACACCTCGGGGCAGACCCAGGACACGCTGGAGAGATTATATCTCTCAGCTGGCCTGGGAACACCTTGGTGTTCTCCCGGACAAGCTGGAGGAGGTGGCTGGGGAGATGGAGGTCAAGTCAAGTCTTCCATCTGCCAAAAACCATAGTCAAGTCTTGCCTAACCACCCTGTGGCCCATCATAGTTGACATGAGCAGTAGCTCCATATAAAGAGAGTTTCTGTTAAATAAAATAGCTGCTGTCTCCCCATTCTCAAAACACCTGGTGTGGACCCTGAAGACCACAGTAACCTCTGCCCAATTTGAAACCTTACATTCATCACTAAAATCCTGGAAAAAAGCATGCTGGCCTCACTGATGTAGGGCACTCCTAATTTCAACCTGGACTCCACCCTGTCAGTCTCATCACATATCAAATCCATCTCTAAATCTGCCTTCTACAACCTAAAGACTCTGCAGCTGAAACCCTCATTCAGGCCTTCATCACGACCTGCAGTGATGTACTGTTTATTCTGCCTAATAAAACCCTGGAAAAGCGACAGCAGTTCAGAACTTAGTTGCCAGAGTTTGCCCTGGAAACACCCCCACCCTTGACAAAAAAAGATACTTTAGCCTAGCTGATAAAAAAAAATCCCAACAAACTGAAAAACAACTTTTCATTCCAAAGCATAATGAACAAAAATCTGATCTGATCAAATTAAACTGTATTTGTATAAGTGTATGTAAATTAAACACAGCTTGTGGAAAAAAGCGATGAAATTTATATTTTACTATGAAAAAAACTTGTGACGTCACATTTCCTTTTCTTTGCAATTTCCAAGTTTCCCCTGATATTTTATTCAGTAACCTTCTATAGCATTATCTTGCTTCATGTCTTCATTATGAAAAACAGTGGGTGTGTGCAGTGATTTCACGTACAGGGGCATGGTTAGGTTACTTGGTAGGAAGCTTTTTGAATACATGCAAATGCTCAGGTACTGACAACTAAACAGGAAACTGAGCTAAGAAAGAAAGGGAGTACCAGATTTTTCTTTCACAAGACTGATCATCAATCTGAGTTCATGATGCAGCTTTATGGAGCTCTGATCCTGTGTGTGACTGTCTGTCAATAAGAAAAATATTTCATGATGGTCATGCGTGCCTTGACAGATAAAGAAATGTAGTGGGGTTTAAAGATGATCTTAAAAGCTTGAAGGAAACTAAAAGGTTAAGTAAACACAAAGTTAGCAGGTCAATAATAAGTTATAATACTAGCTTAAGCGAACAGCAAGCAACAACTGTTTAGTTTTACAGGTGTTACATTGATCCCAGATTTTAAAGTGAAAAAAGGATAGCAAATAAAAAAAAGCAAATCAAAATGAAAACGAAAGAAACATATTTCCAGTTATTATAAATGTATGAAATTGTCTGACATTGCGTTCTGCTTCATTCTACAGCACGCGGATTAATGTGCTATAGGTGCACAGTTGCGGACCCTAAACCCTGCACAAACACCACATCTTGTCCTGTCATCTCCAACCGTTGTTACTCTGTCAGAATTGGCAGTGAGTAGTTCACTTGTTTTGGAAGTTTTCCCCTCATGTCTTGCAGGTGCTAACATAGTCACCAAGGGCTACCTTGGTATTGGCATTATGTTTTGGCCTGATTTATGACTTTTCTTTATGACTTGCTATAAAGACGACCTGTGTAACAGTGCCCAGTGCCATCCTGGTGCTGTTATCCTCAGGCATCATCAAATTCCTTTTCTGAGGCTTTTGGAATGATCTTTCCATGCTGCACTTTTTTCTGATTTTATTTTGTAGAACTAAGGATGAAAGAAACAGCTTTGGAGTGAAATGAGATGTATGTAGCCGGTGTATCAGAAAAACTCAGGAGAGTTTTCTCCAAGCATGACATCCCGGTGCATTTCAGACCCAGCAACACGCTCAGACAAAAACTGGTTCACCCGAAAGACAAAACCCAAAACACAGACTTAACAATGTGGTGTATGCTGTACAGTGCAGCGAGGAATGCCCAGACCTCTACATTGGAGAGACCAAACAGCCACTTCACAAGCGCATGGCACAACACAGAAGAGCCACCTCCACAGGACAAGACTCAGCAGTCCATCTGCATCTTAAGGATAAAGGACACTCTTTCGAGGATGCCAATGTTCACATTTTGGACAGAGAGGACAGATGGTTTGAAAGAGGAGTGAAAGAAGCCATCTATGTCCACTGTGAGCGACCATCTTTGAACAGAGGCGGTGTTTAACGCCCAACTCTCCATCCTGGGCCATCTGACCTCAGGAATTCGCATGATAAGGTGGGGCCAGGTTTCACAATGAACTCACCCGAAACTCTGGCTGATTGGGACCCACACCCAGTTTCACACCTTGGCTCAGGCGATTAGAGGATCATCAGGGGGTCCTTTTGTCCCTCTGTGGGGGGATACTCCCACTAGGTTTATAATCTGGGACTCTCCACCATTTGACCTTAGAACTGAAGAAGCTTCTCGGATGAGAGGTGAAACGTCTTCAAGCAACTTAAAGAAGTCCAGACGCTTTTCTTTGCAAGCTCCTTTGACTACGATGACCTGGATGACTGAGAACCTTCACAGACGTATAAAATGAAACAAAAACTGTCACTGCTATTTTCATCTGTCACTTAGAGAAGTTCAGACTTTGAGGAATTCAAATTATGTATTGCTTGAATGCAATGTTTTTCTTAAAGTAAATGAAAATG